TATACACTGGACCTTTAAACAACATTATATATTTGTTATTATAGTTTGTTTGCATCTCCTTTAAGGCTGTACTAAGTAACTTTTATGCAATATGGTACCGTACATTTGCAGTCTGTCTTTTATTTAGCTGTTATACAAAAAGGCATATTTAGTCCATACCAAATTGAGCGAGTACAGAATAATTTTCTGTTTGCTCAAAATAAATTATTGACCGTCTTTCACCACTCTTTGTATTGCTTGATAATTTCTCTATAAAATATTGTTTACGTGCCTGCAGAAAATATTTTTCTGTGCTCAAAATGTCTGTTATTTATGCTCATAAATAAGACCCAAACATAGAGCTATGGGTGTCAGTCTTGTGTTTTGAGCATGTGGAAAGATAAAAGGATTGGTGCCATGATACAGATATACAGTATAAACGTGCTCAGTGAGAGTTGGTGGTTAAGTCTCCACCACTCATCCAGGGTCTACTTGGTATGGTCCTGTATCCACTGACATAGCCTGAGGCAGTAAGTCTGTGGACTGACAGTTGAGAAGGAGCGCCCTGGATGCCTCAGCCTCTTCCACAAATGCTCCAGCCGCTTCTTAAAACCGTAAACTGTGAAAATGTCAATGATGCCAATGAAGTAGCGCTGCTCTGGTCCGTCAATGATGTGTAGAGGATTCTTTAAATTGGGCAGCAAACGTCGGTTTTGGGCCTTGAAATCTTGAAGCTCGGCTGCGTCACGGCCTGGCCCTGCATGCTCTGGGCATGTTTGAAGAGCACCACCATCTGAAGCATCTCCTGCTTGTGATTGCTGCAAACAACCACCATCTATGTCAGATAAAAGTAAGTTGGAATCATCTTCTGGGACTGCCCCAGGGACAGCAGCTACACCTGCATGGATAGGGCTGGAACCTGGATTTACAGATCTAAAATGATAAAGCCACAGGGAACAGAATAAGTGTGAGTCAGAGCAATTATATAGTTTCATGTGACGTTTGTTAAAAAGAATGTTCCAATCTGTCTAGATGGGTAAACAAAAACGCTTAGTAACATAACAGATAAGTCTGGTTATATGTTTCTGCATAATTTCATTCTATGGTGATATGACATAACTTCCAGTGAGTAAGGCAAACTTTTAGAATAATCAGAGAAAGCCCCTAGATAAAAAAAAAATTTAAAAAAAAAATAATGAATGCCTACTGCAGTTTTAATTGCTGTAAAGTGTTAACTGCAGTTAAAAATCTGGAAACGAGTTTGATCACTGCAGTTGCCCTAGCTCGTCAATGAAACACAAGTCCATGTTTTTCACCAAACTGTACAACTTATCAAAAAGACACAG